TTCTCTGCTATCAAAATAAAGGGAAAGGCAAATTTTCTTTTTTTTTTCATTTGCACATTCGAAGAAAATGAAAGAGAAATCGATCAACGTAACAAATAACAAGATCATATAACAAAAAATCTTTACTAATCGTCATTTAACGAAAGCAATATTCGCTCTAAAAACTAATAGATTGTATAGATAAAGAAAACAAAACGTTTGTTTCGATATTTTCTATCTATAAATAAATCACAGAAACTGTGTATGAAACTTATAGCCTCATTGCTACAATAAAAAAATTTCTTAATTCGAATTTCCAAATAATAAAAATTTTCCTACACTTTATTATTTCTTGAAATATTTTCTTCAACACGCGTCGGTGCACACAAATAGATTCTGTACGTTTGTTTAATCAACTAATACATTTTGTTGAATACAAGTTTTGATTGTATATATGTATGATGGTTGTTAGACTAGTTCAAATGTTCGATTAATTCATACACTAGATTAGATTTATTTGCTAAGATTTATCTATTAGTTTGATTAATAAAAATTAAAAATAAAATTGGTATATTATTATTTCTGTTAGTACGAATAGCAAGATTCAATGTATACTTCAATGTTGAAGCAGAATCCATTGGATTATCTCAAGTTTATTCATCGTTACTAGTAAATAATCAAAGACAACGAATGCTGATAATACAATATTCTTTGAAGTAAATGAAAATAGATTCATTGATTGATTGATTATCGTTATCTTGATAGATTACATCATATTTTTGGAATAAAATTATATGAGTTATTCTTATACTTAGTCGTTTCAGAAGAGAGATCAAACATCAAATGATTAAACATAAATTTTATTGAATATAACAAATTTAATTTGTTTTGAAGATTTACTTTTAGTTCAAATCAAAAATATTTGAAATTCTCTTATGTTATCATTAGCGTTCTTTAGTTTTCATTTGTCAAATAATGAGCAATCAGTTAGTTGACAACTAATGAAAGTCGATTTACAGATAAATTATTTATCTAAAAATGTAATCGATTGAAACTTCTGTTAACATGAAGTTGCGGAAGTACGTAATTCATTCACAACTGCACTAATACGTTCAATATTAATTGCTAATTTTTTATATTTATCAAATTCATTATCTTTAGAATAATATTGTTTTAATATTAGACAACCAAATTCAATTGATTTAACCGTAGGTAAAGCATGTAAAAGATGTTTTTCTAATAGTGATTCAAATGTATCGAATTGTTCAATTGATATAACTCGTACACAAAATTTTCGACGCATATTAAAACCTAAATCGTCATTAAAAAATTCAACTAAAGAAAAATAGAATTTAGAAATAATAACGAAAAAAAGTTTTTATTAAAATAAAATTTCTACCTGTATCTTGTGGTTTTAATTCATGAAAATGACCTTTATCAAGACGAATTTCGATTGTTTTTTTTCCACAATAAATTAAAGAAAACCATGGTTCAGATAAATGTTTGACAAGCATCGTTTTTTATTCTAAACTGTATTACTCTCATACGATAGTGACGGCAATAGTTGAAATTGTTATTTGTGCAATAGAAGCTAATAGAATGCATGACTAATCTCATATAATCTAAAATCAACAAGAATAAGTGAACAAATAAAAAATAATATAATTTTTCGATACTTGCTAGTCATGCGTCTCGACAGAGGGCAACACTAAACAATACTGTCACGATACGGAAAAAAAAGAGAAAATCAAGAAACAACTTATCAATCGAAAAAAAATAACAAATATTCATGTTCATATATTATTTAAGTTTTATTGACTATTCA